TAATTATCCTGAATGTAATCAACAAATTTTCCTTTCAAGTGAAGTTATTCGTTGTTATACATGTGATTCACGTATAACTGGTTTGAAAGATTGTATGATACTGAATACATCTAGTTCATATGTTTATAATTCTGCATCTTCAAATCCATCTGAATCATGTACTGTGAGTAAATAAGAGAAAAGAATTTTCAGAATCTTTATTTATTTATAAACTATAATTTTTGTAAGATGATTATTGGTCCAGCTGAAAAAGATCTCGTTACTGAACACAATTATCCAGCTTTTACGATGCGTACTTTTATTGATAATTGTATTAATCAATCGTTAGGTAATGTAACATATGGTGGTGTTACTTTTCAAGGTCGTATTGATTGTTGTTCGACTTCTCTTTGTAACATACATCGTAAGTTCTAATTGAAAAATTTTGAAACAATTTTTTTTTCTCTTATTAATTTAGCTTTGTATATAAATTTAACATTTTCAACAATAATACCAAAACATTTTTATCCTACTTCAAAATTTTTTTAATCTTCTTTGATTATATGTCTTGGATTAATTTTTATCATCATCGATATTTCATTATCTATATATCGATTTCGTCTAAACAAATCATATAATCGTTATTTTCCCGGGAATTTATAGTGATAGTACAACAAGTCTTATTTTTATCATCACGTTAAATTAAAAATAATCAATTTGAAATAGGATTTATCACTAATGATTTCAAGTTGATACAATTGAAGAAAATTAACTAATGTGATATTGTTTATAGTTTTAAAATTTTTTGTTTTAATTTATTTTTCGAAGAATAGCGTATAGGCCAATTTGCTTCTATGATTTATAGGAAGGGAATGGAATAATAAACAGTTCTTTTAAATAAAATTTATTATTATTAATTAATCAGTTCTTATATTTTGCATTAAAAAAAACTTCTCAATAGGCCGACATCTGTATCCCCGATTGATTTCAAAGAAAAAAGAGAATGAACAATGTAAAAAAAAAACTTTTCAATACAAAGTTCATGTAAAAACAAAAATTGAGTTTATATTTCAGAATAACATTATTCCTTTCAGAATCATCAAAAAGGTTACCAAGATTAGAGTAATAGTTATCGATGAGATATGTCTCGTTGTTCCATTGCAATAATCTTTATTTGAACAACAATAGACAATACTGTCTCCACTATGACCAGACGTACAAGATCGACCACCTGCTATACGTTCAACATAAGTTGAATATACTACTTTCTAATTAATTAACAAATATTGAAAAAATAAGGTTCTTTACAATCCATTACTCACTGCACAATAGGTATTGTAGGGAACTGGAAGATCTCCTGATGTGCTTGGATTATATGGATCATTACAGCCAGAATTAGTTGAACCATCACATGATACGCAAATTAATCCATTTGTTATTGGGATTAATGCTAAAGTAACAAGTTTATATCATTCAATCGGAAAAGAGATATTTACTTAATAAGTATAAAAACAATAAATTAAGCGGATTCATTTTGTTTTTCAGTTTATGATATTTGTACCAATAAATGTTTGAATGGTAAAAAAGTCGGATACGTTTCTAACAGTTATAAGTGTAGATTATAGCAAACAGCAGTAATAACAAAAACGTATATGTAGAGTGCATTTGCGATTTAATAAGAAAACTTATTTGTTTTGTCTTCTTCTACGGATTTTTTTTTCAGAACAATATTTGTTTTGTCAGAGTTCATGCTCATTTTTTATGCAATTTTTTTTACAAAAGAATACAATTGTATAGAAAAAAAAACTATAAGCAAGTTTATATTGAAAATTTCAGCCTTGAAAGATATCTGACATTTGAGATTATCATAGAAATAAATATATATCATGATGAAAAGAAAAACTTTGTTGTTGTCGAGATAATTTGCTAATATTTTCGGGAGGCTTAAGGAAAAGAACACGGTTGATTCCACTGATGCATTTTAATGAATATTTTTCTTACATTATTTCGTAAAAATAAAACGAATAGAGGTGCAGAATTTTTAATCAAAAATCAATAAAGAAATCAATTCATATAGAAAAATAACAAATACAAAATACAATAGAATATATTTTGTTCTATTTCATACAAAATTTCAATTATGATAGAAGAAAAGAAAATTTCAAGAAGATCTTATTTATAATTTTGAGAACTATGCATTTATGTCAATCATATATGGACCAGGTACAATTTGTCCCGTTTGTGGATCACAATATCCTTGTATAAAACTCGTTCGATTGATTGCAGGTTGTCCAATACATTTACCACGAACTGTAATTGAATATTCTGTATACTTATTTTCACCATTCATTGTCAATAGAGGTTTCTCAATATTTGGATCAACTATAAAATGTACAACTGTAACTCGAATACCGGTACCATCAATAAGTGATGGATCTGATTGAAGATTTGGATATATGATATCCCATGTAAGATTGTTCTATAGAATAGAAAAATAATATATATTTTAATTTATAAACGAAAAACTTTTTATTTACTTGAACTACAGCACCATTGAATAAACCAAACCATAATTGTGGAGAGACATTACCTGCATTAAATCGCAGCACAGGTTCATCTATTCGTTGTTGACATATGGCAGTGTTTGTATCTTCACATTGTCGTGTTTTACCAGCACAACTCCACCAATAAATATATTCTCTACCATCAAAACCAGTTCCTTTAAGAGCAACAGGCCATGTTTTGACAAGATTTGTTATATCATAGACTGATGCATTTCCATAAGCACGACATGGATTTTTACGATCAACTAATAATAAACTTGCCCAACAAAGATTTGTTAGAAATATACTGATTAGAACACATGATAAGATGATAGATGTTTGAGACATTGTCAACAATGTATCTATAATAGCAAATAATTATAATTATCGATTAAAATCCAAGGAGAAAAACAAGCTTTTTAATCTATTTTTCTGTTTTTTTTCAAGACTACACTCATTGTAATTCTGCCTAGTTCACTAATATTAACAATGAGAAGTGTTGAAAGAAATAAACAAAAGAACAGAAAAAAAACAGTCATATTGACTGAAGGGATCAAAGATAAAGAATAGCTTTTCTGTTTTTTTTCTTATCATACACGTGACGTTATCTTATCTTATTTTTTTTTGTTTTTGACTCTTATTGTTTAAAATAGAACATTTTAAAATGTTTGTTAATTGACATTTGTTGAAAAAATTTTCCTAAAAAGATTGGATATTTTATGATTAGATTGATCACAAAACAAAACAAATAAATATTTGGTCTAGTCTTATTCTTATATTAATATTACATCCCATAAACTAAAAAAGAACATCATAAAAATCAGTTAATTGTATATGCATTTGAGACTTTACCATTAGTACTGCGTGTGATCGTATGATTGTGTAACCAAACAGCTGTGTATTTTTACGCTAAGTCTTGTAAGCATTTCTAAATTTAACGGCAAAGAAAGCAAAACTAAAAGAAAATGTGCTCGACCATGTTTACGTGACGCCACAGATATATGCAGCTGCGCCGTAAAATTTGATTAGGTGAAAGTATGGATCCCGAATGTTGTTGTGTCTCAAAGAGTAATCATAATGAGAGGTTAATTACGAAGTAACTGAATCGTAGTCGAACACAAGGGGAGAAAGCTGAATATTGGCAGAAATGGAATATATAGAGAATCAAATGGTCAAAAACATAGGATTTTTTATTGGAAAGGGCACAATCACTTATAAATTAAGACATCAAATAACTCCAATTGGGTGTGATGAACGATCAACTATTATCAGCTGTCTTCTATCTATTTTTTCAATGTGACGGTAAAGTTTCTGTTTGTGGTTATCTTTTGTTTTGAAGTGAAGTGTTTACTTTCGACTTCTGAAGAATGAGAATCAGGTGGTATCATATGTTAATGGCACTTGTTTTCAATTGAATGATGCATCACTAGCCCACGTTCGATTGTCACAACAAAGTTCCAATATCTTTCGTTTTCCAAGGAGCAAGATTTACCATGGAAACTAGATGCAACATCCGTTACATTTCTTTGAATATCCAATCCACTGCATTGGACACAGTGTCTTTATGTCGTATCATTCTCATATTGCAAATATAAACATGTTTTTAAACTCAATTGTCTCGCAACGAAGAAAATTGTACAAATAACACAAAAATCATCTTTCAATATGAAGGAATACCTCTAAACGAAATGTTGATATTGTAAAAAAAAAACAAACTGCTATAACAGTAAACTACAATGTGGAACTCATGTCTCTTATTCAGATCCATTATACTGATAAGAAATACATAAATTGAAGAATTTCTAACAGATGATAATTACCTGTCATTGATAACCAATTATCAAAGACTGACTCTATATTATTTATTTTTTGCATTTTAGATAGCAATTTTTTTTTTTTTTTTTTACTGGTGCTTCATATTATATTTGTTTTGCTTCAATTGATTCGTTAATTATATTATGTTTTTATTTCGTTTCCATCTTAATTTATTATTATTTTAATTTCCTTTATGATTAATCAAGCTGCCAATATAAGTTGCTATGTACAAGAATTTAATAAATACACAATGGGTCTCAACACAACATCTTATATCATGATAAACATAGAAATTCTTATGTTGATTATTACTATGAATTAAAACTTGATTATATTATTCTTTTGTATCAGCCATATGCAGACTATATCAAATCGACACATCACTTGCCATCATGATTCACATCTATCATACAATCGTTTTATCTGCCATACAGTTCAAAAACATCTTATGACCATTTAGAGTTCAAGAATGGCTTCGGGATGTTCTAGAATGCTTCTAAAGAGTCTACGTATATTATTCACTGTGGTTTAACATCTTTTCTACTGCTAAGTAGTTCTACAAAGAAGTCTTGTACTTATTTGCTTGATTGATGAGAAAATATAATCATTGACCTTTTATTCCTGGTAACTGGGAGATGGATGGGGAGAACCAAAAAACTTTGTCTTCAGCATACAATGAGTATTTTTTTTTCGAAAAATATATGTGAGTTTCATAATACAATTCAAGTGAATAGTGACGCAAACAGGATTGTGATTATCATAGGATTGACCTAGCCCATGATACAGATTGTGTCTTCGCCATAGGATGAAACAAGTAATCTCCATGGTAGCGGACACTTGTCCACATCGACGGACAATTGGACATTTCGCTGTAGTCGATGATGAGTGAGAACAAGTTCAGTATGATCACAGTCAATAGTCAATGTCATTTGATCACCTGGTTCAATATTTTTCTCTTTGTAGACTTTCAACTGAGGATTGCGATTGACAATAGGTCGATCGAAATCTCGCCAACCATAGACCGATGATAATTCTGTTGCTCGTGCTGTTATCTTTTGCATCGATGCCAATATACCGAAAAAGATGCCTTCATTTTTCTTAGCGATGATTCGAAATCGAATGTTATGAATTTCCGAGCCATACAGTTTGATACCACAGATACTCGAATAACCCATACATGTTGCGAGTAAACCATCCTCTGATAATTTTACACGTCCAGCAACCTGGTGAAAGCGTTCTTCAGCAGTTGTATGTGGTGTTTCCAGAAACGATGAGTGTGACTGCAATTTGACAGTCGATTTCTGTCTTTTGTTCACTTTTGCTTGAACAGAACTGGGTAGGGGTGCTTCATAGATTATGTTGATGAGACGAATAGCAGATTGTGGTGTTTCATCACTTATAACACTAATTGGAAACGGTTTTTGAAGCAAATTCTGCAGTTTTTGAACCTGTCGAGTCCAATTCTTCAAATCAATTTCTGTCGTATCACGTGCCCGGCGACTGGACTCCATACTTGCAGTAATCTTATTTATGACTTCGTTGAAATCATTCATTGTCCGCTTGGTCAACTGATGAACTTCTTTTCGAGCATTTTCAGCTGACAGTTGTATCTTCTTAATCGATTCTTGTTCCCAAACGTCAATGGCAGATAAAAGAGGCGTTGGATCATTTTCTTGTACGAGACTCTGTCGCAAACGTTCACAGTCATCATTAATTCGATCCACTTCTTTTAAAACTTCCTGTCGATGTTCAGATAAATGGTGTTCACAAAAAGATTGATGACATCCATCGCAAGTGACAATACCGGGATTTGTCTCACATTTCACGCATATCTTTTTCGTCGAAATCGTTGGCATATTTTCAATCTGAATAGAAGCATAAGGAAGATTATAGAGTGAAATCAAAAGAAAAATTCCTAAATAAATCAACTTTTAGTGATACTCGAACACAACATGTAGTCTTAATTTCAAATGTGATTCTCAAACTGACTCCATAAGAGTTTTCATCTAAAACTCGAATCTAAGAATGAGTTTTCACGATTCGATCACTTAAAATTTGATAAATAAAAATATGTGCTATTGTTCATTATCGATTACTCGATTATTATTTTTCCTTTTTCTTATACGAAAAATTAGGCCATTTACTTTCAATTACTATCGTTATATCGGATTCAATTTCGACGTGTTTTGTTACTGATTCGTTTCAGACTTCACTGTGTAAACGAAATAACGGATACGAGAATAAACGATCTGATACGAATGTCATCAATCATCATACTTCGATATCAGAAAAACCTTTTTCTGAAATGACAATGTAGATGGTCGACTCGAAATGGCATTAAATACGATAAATGAGAAAAAGAAACCGTGATGATCAAATTACACTTATGCATCAACAGAACCTTTCAAACATTATTGGATATCAAATATTTATAAGTATGACATCCTACCTAGAAAGTCTTTGTTCTATCCATTCTTTTATATTCGATTTGTAGCATAGGCAATCCAGCATGACTACAAAATGTTGAGCTCATTTCAAGTATACTTTTAAATTGAATATCTAACGTATTCCTTTAATATTTATTCCTGTTCTACTAATACATCACATCTAGGGAATGTAAGCTGATTAGCTGACGAGAAAACTACCTGAATTGATACTCGCTATTTAAATTCATATTGAGTTCACAAGTAGATCTCCATAAAACTAGAAAAATCTGAAAGGATTCGTGCCTATGGACTTCTAAGCTCAAGTTATGACCGTTTTATTGAATTAGCAATCCAGTTTTAGGTATTTCGATCAGAAATTTTACCTGTAAACGTGGCGAATGACTAGTGGAATCTCTTAAAAGTTTCAGTCGAAAACAAATGTTCCTATGTTGAGATATTGAGTTTTCAAGTAAACTCGAGCTTTGTGGCATATCTGTGGCAAACAACCACTTTTTAGAAATTCAATATCTTGACAGGAGAACATTCTTTTCGGCCGAAATTTTCAAAATATTTCATCAGTCGTTCGACCTCCTTAGAAGCGAAATTTCAGATTGAAATATTGTTATTTAATTTTTCAGTAAATACCTAAAGCTAGATAGAAAATCTAGTAAAATGGTCATAACTCGGCTCCAGAGATCCATTGGTACAAACCCTATAAAGATTTTTATAGTCTTACCGAAACATTCTTGTGAACCCAATATGAGCTCATACGGTGGGTATCAGTTTGGGTAGTTGCTTCGTGAGTCGCTACATAGTGGACATGATATTTTCTTTCGAATAAACACTTATTTCATCTCTATAATTGTTACTTCTTGACCTAGTAAACGATCAAAAGTAAAAATAGTCGTTTTCTTAAAATTAATTTAATTGAAAAATTCACTGGACGGGATCTCGAGGAGAAAAATTGGAAGAAAAATATTTCTCTGCAAAATCATAGTACTGTGTGTGTTTCAATGCAGTTTGTTGTACTGATTCTGAATACGATCTTTTATTGAATAAAAACGTTTTTGAAGGAAGACAAATAGAAAATGCCTGACAAACCATGACTTTTTTGAAAGTCTTCGGTAAAGTCCAGAAACATTTATGATAGTTTATACTAACTGCAGTGATAGAGAATATACGAGAGAACATTCTGACAAAGTTTGAATAAGTTCTACATTGGAATGTCAAGGGGCGCTCATTTTACTAATATAATCGCTTGAAAAATCACAGGGAAGAAAAAGCAAATTTCATTCTTAGGAAATATCAGTGGTAATTATACATTTTATTTTTATTCATCGGTGGTGCATTCCTTAAATAATAATGTGCGTTGTATAAATGGCGCTATTTTCAGGTTAATTTTAAATTAGTTGTTTTTTCGCTCAACTTGAACTTTGTGGCAAAAATTTTAATGCTATTAAATAGTCCATAAGCCGAAGTATATTTAGCACTATTTGAATCTTTTAAAGGTATATTTTCGAGTTTTGACCTCATGTTTACCGTGTCATCTACTGTGCGCCGTTCTCGTGAATAGTTGCTAAACATTTCAGCTACGATCATCAAGACATAAAAAGGGATACTAAATTTTTGAAAATTTTCCGCATTTAGGGACAGCTTTCGGTGATGTTTTTGTTTAATTTCTTATCATTACACTCTCTACTATTGTTTTCTCCTTGTTTAATTTCAAACTTTCACGAAACTAAGAAGGCTTTCAAAGCATCGAAAAATTTCGGCCAACGCCACCGATTAGGGCATCGGCTTTCATCTCTAATCACAAGTGACAGAATCATCTGTCATTAATACATTCATGACAGACTTTCTCATAAATGTTTGTTAATATTTTGTATTTATACACACGAATGGGCATCTTCTTCAGATAGAACGATTTAGATAATGATTAATATTTACTTCCCCACAGTACTTACAGCAGGACTATCACCTTCTAACAGAGTCGGTTGAGGAATATAATCTTCACAATTTCTTACAATATGAATAACACAAAACAACACAAAATTGTATTCACAACTGCTGCACAACCAGAGTAATGTTTTCTTTTCAATTCTACTGCTATGCAACAGCATGGAAAGAAATGAGTAGAAAGGATCATGGCCTCAGGATGAAAGAGAAAGTGTGCAATTCTTTTAGTTGTTTGATGTGAACGAGTCATTCTTATTCAATAGACAAGGTATTGTCATATGACTATTCGTGGAAATACTGATATTGGTTACAGTAAACTCATGACAATCATGGTTCCAACAATCAACGACGATTAATTTATGAACTCATAAGTGCAATTTCGATAGAAAAAAGACCATTTTTCAAGCACATCTTGGTTTAATATTATACACAATCTACGAAGAAATCTTTGACAGACTTTTTCCTGTTGACGACCATCTGGTCATATGAATGTGTACTCGTCATTCAATGTCATAATTTGCATGTGAAGTACTAGTCTAAACAACAAATGATCTCTTCATCTTTTCCGAGAGATACATCGACAAATGAAACTATAGCAGTTGAGGGCCGGAATTTGAACCATCAACACGAGGGATCAACATAAAAAATAATATAAAAAAAAAAAGAATTTATTTATATTGAGGATGTGAGGATGGATGTGGAGTAGGGTGAGATGTAGGTGGATATGAGTGTTACTTTGGATGAAGATAATGTCTAAGCACGTCGACATCCTGGTTGGAAAGAATAATTTAAGATGCACGCTGAAACAGTTGGCGATCCAAGTGTTGAAGTCTATAAACAAACCTATTACGGTAGATTGTTTTGCTCTCTTTCTTACCATACTATTATTATTTTTTTCATTTCTTCTATGCACTTAAACTTAAAGTCTGTAAATCAACACAAAAAACAGAAGCAAAGGGATGCTGTAAAAGTTGTATTCTTTTTTAAACTAAGCGACTGAGAATTTTTCATTGTATTCTGAAGTAAACAGAAACTATACAGATTGATCTTCAAATGAAAGTTTTTTTTTCTGTTATTAGAGTTATTTCACAAGCGGTTGCAACTGACATTATGTTTTTCAAATAGTTCTATCTCATAGATAGATGCTGAAATAATAAATATATTTTAGACAACTATTGATATTGTAAAAGAATTGGTCAATGAAGAATTCTTTTTCAAATATCTTTCTTGCTAATTTTATTAAATTGAATGTAAAAAAAACTGTTAGTTGCAGGGATATAAGATGAAAATTCCGTAAGGATACGAATAATATTGTCTGATTGACTTCTTTTTATTCTTCAATCATAATCCTAAAGAAATAGCAAATTTGAAATAATCATATACATAGAAACAAGCACATACATGACATTTTTATAATGAAAGATGATATCATCTTTTAATGCGTGTTTGTTTCTGTTGTGTATGACCAAGAACATGAATATCCGAAGCTAAAACATGAAAGTCTCTTCTCAATATAAGCATTCGATCAACCATTGTTGTTATTGCATCTTCACAATATGATGCAAAAAATTTCTATTGTGTTTATATGGGTAATCAAATGCATATACTTCGTTTGTTACTTGAAGTGCATTATGGATAAGTAAACAATTACTTTACCATAAATGCTGACATCTTAACGGACATCTTTCGTTTTCTTTTTTATTGACTAATTGATCTCATACATTGGCTTTGTATTCCTGATAATTTATTTTGCTTGCTGTAACAAACTAGAAAAGGTCTATATAAAAGCTCTCAAAATTATTCGACCAGATTTATTTTCAATATTTGTCCATTTGTCATAAGCGCTAAAAAGAATCATAATAATTAATTGAGTAGGAGATTTTATTTCCAACAAAAGCTTTTGAAGATGAAAATGATTTTTAGTTTCTCAAGAATAGAGTCTTTTGAAAATCCAGAAACTAAGTTTTTCAATTCCTAGAATTCGCTAATAGAAACTCTCTTCGAATTAATTAATGTGATAGAGAAAATAATTCGCTACAACACGTGACATCTTTCAGTTTTCTATGACTTGTTTTTTTTGACTGAAATACATCAACCTTACGAATGGTACAAAAGTCTTTTGTCTTGTTATTTTGTGTAGAAATGTATCTTGCGTAAGATTGATCTACTTCGATCGAAAAACGTCATAGAGAGCTGACAGGTGTCACATTTTATAACGTTGTGTTTGCTCTCTATTAATTTAGATAATACAAACAGAATTCTTTTGCCGAATACAAGGAGCTGAAAAATTTGAGTTTTGCTTTTTCAGATACTCTGCTGTTGAGAAACTAGCAATTATTTTTATCTTTAAAGATTCTTCTTGAAAATAAAATTCTCTACTCTAATCACTATTTGTATTTTTCTTAGCACTTACAACAATGCATAAAAACATGGAAATAAAATTTTTATATACGAATGAAACTGGCTTGAAGTTGTTTGGTCTTTAGAAATTGATTTTTAGTAAACTCATATTAATATACTTTAATAATTAGTTTAATCTCTTATCTAATCTAACATAAATAAGCATATTTTTTATGAACATATATCTCGCTGCTAATAAAACCTTATACATAAGTTTGTTAACATCAAACTCAATAATGTACATGCATATGTAATTGACTTCAGTTTTCAATTAACTAGTTCACAACGAACTCTTGTTATTAATATGAATACTATTGTGAAACTCTTTTTCTGAAACTACATATATCGATTGTATAAAAATGGTACCAATGTGAATAAGTATATCATTGTACTTAGATATTATCGAAGATAGTTAGGGAGTTTTCAAAGATTTAATTGGAAAATAATCAATATATCCTTATTAAATGTTTAATTATTATATATGTATATATCGATGTTTCAAAATTCACTCTTTTCCACTGCATAAAACTGCTGGACTTGAACTTGTTCTTATCGAAATTTAATTGAACTATATATAGAGACTTTCCCATCTAAATGAATAAAAACTGACTGAAAAATAATTCATAAATGAAATATTTGTTGAATAGTTTCCAATACATTCATCAAAATATTATATTTAAAGAATAATTAATATCTGATATTTTAAATCCATATGAAAAAGAAAAGAAAATACAAGTGAAGTAAATGAAAATGTAAATTATTACAAGTATTGAATTTTATATAACAGAACTGGATAGAATAACTGTAGATGAGTTAACATATTTAACATGTTTAAAGAGTGGATGCAAAGTATGCAAAGGTGTACGTGAATTCCAAGCCGAAATTCCACTTGTGAAATAAAGGTAAGAAAGTTGTTTAAGAATTGAAAGAGTGCTAGCCAAAATTTTGAAATTCAATCCTGGATTTTTTTCACTCTTATAGTTTCGAATATCATCAAAAGTAAGCCATTTAAGATTAGGTGTAAGCTTCAAAATCGCAGCAAGTATTTCGAATGTCGAACGAATAAAGAGATATTGAAGAAGTAAGTTCACACAAGAAATAGAATGTCGTGGAAGAGATAGATTTTTTTGAGGTGTTTCATATACAATAATATTTAATCGAGATATATTTGGACAAGCACGAAGTACACAAATAATTCCATATGAATCATATACACTAATTGATAGGGAACGAAGTTTTGGAGAACCATTCCAAGAATGATCAGTAGAAGTTCGATCGAATTGACATACTTTTAAATGTTCAAAAGCATTTGAAAAGATTAAATTTAAAAGAATTGAATCTTCAAGTGGATAAGAAAGATTTAAATATTCAAGACGAGGAAAATTTTCAGATCGAATTGAATTTCGTTGTTGTAGACTTGGATATTTAAGAGTTAATGAACGAAGAGCTGAAAATGGTGTTATATCAAATTGCCCAAGGCATACCGTGAGACATATAATACATGGAGCAAAAAAAGAAAGTGCCGGATGATGCTGATTCGAGGAATCGACAGTAAAATGTAAATGTGTTAATGATTGAAGAATTTTATTAATACGTTTATTAAGACCAAAAAATGAATAATATAATTCTTGCCATGAAAAAAAAGGAAAAATTCCATAGTGAAATATCTCATTAGGTAGATCATCTAAATGTAATAATTGATTGTTGTCATTCATTTTAAAATATTCGATTTGAAAATCTACAATTGTAAAACATTATAGATATTGTTATTTCTAAATAATTTATGGAACTAATTTCAAATTTGATTAAAAAGAAAAATACAACATATTCGATAGAAAAGAATTTTCTCTATTTATTTACAAGCATTAGTTTTTCTTAATCTTGCAATATTTCACTTCCTGAAAGTGAAGAAAATTCAAATTTCAATAATTTTCAAAAATTCGTTGAAAACAACGACAATAATATTATTATTAAATATTTTATTGTTCGATTGCCAACAAAATTTGAACACTAATAAAGATGCAAAAATACTATTACACAGTGTCGTACAGACATTATCACAACTAGGTGCACTGTCTCTCATATGATGGAATCAAGGATTTGCACTACTTATTATAATGTGTTATTGTAGAACTTCCTGTGAATATACGTTAACAAAATCGATTGTGTAAACAATCTGTCAGTTTGATACATCAAAACTTACTCTCAAAATTCTTAACATGTAGGTTTTTTTCTATTTCGACAGCTCATGCTCATGACCTTGAACAATTCAATTTGTTTACCATTTCACTCGTTGTAAGAAGTATATCTGAATAATTTTCTTGGTCGATCAATCAATCGCAGTTTTTTCCATGTCATTTGTAAAATTACTGATCAAAGTGTCAATTACCATGGAAAACATTCATTACATTGTAGATTGCTGACGGTAGAAAAACCCATCAATATTACCTCCTATGCATTCGTTCAGTGCTCTTAGGTTCGACAGCGAGAACAGTTTATATGAGTATATAGTGAACATGAGATTTGCAAAACAATTTCACTGTTATTGAGATGCCACGAGACATTTCATGTGAATGTAACAATTGAATCGATACTCGCGAATATATGCTCAACGAATGAACGATGCATATAAGCGCTTCACAAATATAAATTTTAACCAAGCAGCAACACTTACAAATCGAGCCAACTAAGAAAATGTCACAAATGTTCGTTCTGATGGCTTGATTGACATATTGAACTTGAAAAACATCTCAATAAGATGCTATACATGCATTAGTTGTGCAAACACATGAACTACAGTAATTACATATGAGGAATTCCAGTTTCAGAAGAAGTTGTGTCAGCACCTATACGAATCTGTGCAATAATAAATGTATGAGTACATATCAATTGTAATACAAATTACATTTGCACTTGCGCAATCTCTGATATTACGCAAATTCTAGCAGCAATTAGTCAATAAAAAATCCTGTAATGGACTACTATTATCGTAATTTCTAAAGAATTTCAACAATTGTGGAAATTTAAGTAGTAAAATTACAGTTTACTAAACATTTTATATTATGCTTAAAAACCTCGAGAATCCATATATATAATGTTCAATGTGTGTGTCCGTGCTGGGTCAAAGGTCAGATAAGACTATAAGGACTATTATGTATGAGGATACCCGTAGGCCCTCAAGAGCTATTATATGGAGATACCCATAGGTCTTCAAGGCCCATAAGGTAATAAGGGAGTAGAAAATAAGGGGATAGGGATATAAGGGTAAAGGGGATAAGAGGCTATGGCTACAGAGGTATAAGGGATAAAACTAAAAGAGTATAAGTAGATAAGGCTGCATGGGATATAAGAGATAAAGAAATAACGGAATAAGGCTTTAAGAGATAATACCACAAGAGTATAAGGCTACAAAGGTGTAAGACTGTGAGAGTATAAGACTATAAGGTCTCTATATATATAATGTGAACTGGTTGATTGTCTATTACCCAATCAACGCTGAAGGACAGATGTGAAACTTTACAGGAAGAAAGCATCCGTGCAGTATGCACAGGCTCTCGCTAGTAATATTGATAATTTATTTGTCATCAACTCAAATACATACTACTATTATAAATATGAAGTTATATTGGCTATGAGCGAATAACCAATCAATTTTGTTTCAACTATCAAAAACATAGTGGGCTCTGTATGCTTGTTAAGTTTTCAAATTTTAGTAGTCAAAAAAAAAGACTCATAGGAAAATTTCGATTCTGAATATTGGTTAAATTTTAGAAAAATAATAATTATGAATATACAGTCTAGGATGAAAATAAAAAGCAAAGATTTCAGACACGAAAAATAGACCGCGTAAGGTTTTAAGGAACATGAATAAAACAATATACACGCTGTAAATTTCCTTTTTCAATAGTATTCTAATCATCAAGAATTCATGAAGAATAGATAATCTGGATTTAATAGTCTCTATAGTTCAAAGTAGCATAAACCACCTGTATACTATAAAACATTACTATTTTGCCAAGATGACATTTGGATTTAGTTTCTAAAACTTTAAGATGCTAGAATTGTATGTTTATCTTTGCAAGAGCATATAACATCGCAAAAGAAAAGATCGGACAACATGTCTTCACCTATGTTATTGCAAATGAACACAAACCACCAATAAACTATCGGTAGACTGTTCGGTATAATATGTGCTATTCCAGTTATCAGCAGATGCACTTTCTGTTAGCGACATTTCTATGAAACCTTGAAGCAATGGATAGATCCAGAACATTTTTATATGATATAGTCGAGAACTGGAAAAGAAATATAATTATTATATAGTCATAAGAAGCGTCGTCATATTCTTGTTATGCTACCAAGGATGACTTCGGTGAAAATTATAAAGAGCAGAACAAGAAAAATGTTTTCAATCTAAAGCATATGTTTACAGAAACTTGCACGGAACTGGAAGTACTGCATTCAATTGCAGACTAAATTTAGAATTATTCGATGTCTGAGTCATCGCGTAGAATCTGCTAACAAAATTTGAGTTACATAGGACCTAACAGCATATTACTTAAGAAGCAGACGACAATTAGTAGTATTTGATCTAGTCATATTAAGTATGGTGAGAAATACGAATCAATGTCGAATACACTTAGTGATGTGATATCTAAATTTGACGTAAACATTAGAAAAAGATTTTGTGTTAAAAATGAGATGGTGGTATACCCACTTATATATTCTATTTTTAGGAAAGATGAGAATGGAGCTACACCACAGCAAAAGTTTTAACAACAGTAGAAAATATATTTTATTTGGAAATAATGTAAACACGAGATATCACTAAAACCAATTTCCTAATTTCAGTTGATGAGAAGAATTTATTATCATAAGCAATCTGTATGAGAGATGTAGTTTATATGCTGTTAATACCAACTTTTAAAAATGAATTTTATTCTAAGTGCATTAATGGTTTTTCAGTTCGACAATAATTTCATGATTCATGTAAATATGATTATAGATTAAAACAAAAACTGTTGAGTGATTTTTTTAATGGAATATAAACGTCACCACTATACAGGAAAATAATAGAGAAAACAAATGTCTATGATTCAATTGGTTACTTTTGAAATAATAACAAAAATGAATCATCATTAAAAAAGAAATATTTGCTCAATTTTCTGGCTTGCAAATATTTTCTTTCAAGATGATAAAAGGAAATTAAAGCAAATGAATTTTCTATTATTTACTAAAGTAACAATGTTTCTTATGTAGTTTTATCTGAGGTAGATTTTCTTTTTCTTATTCTTATCAAAATATCTATGTTCTTATAAGTTATGAAGAGAATGAAACACGTTATATATATGGTGTGAATATGGTCTGATTCAGTTCATTTCAAGGTCAATTACAAAAATACGTACACGATGATATCAAATAATGAGATTAACAATATTTCATTGAAATCAATGTCAAAACAAAAAATATTTTTTATTGTACTTAGTTTATCTGTTTTATCAATTGCTCTAATTTATCAACCATTGCCAGAGAATTTTCCTCAACCATGGAAATATCGATTTCTTTCATTCTGGGCACATCTTTTTTCAAAATTGGTAAGATATAAATGAATTAAAGTTTTTATTTTATTTTTTACAAAATTATATTATTAATTTTTGTAGGGTTTTTTTGCTGAAAAAGTAAATTTATTCGATCGTATTCATATTTTACGTTTTCTTTATTATATATTTGTTGGTTGTTTTCAAATACGAAATCCTGAACATCATTTAAAGGTATAATCCATTGATTAATTTAATGAATAAATCGGTTTTCTTTTTGTAGATCTATGATAGAAGAATATTAAATGTTAAAGTTCGAATATATGAACCTGAAGAATTAGCTAATGTGGATAAAATGCCGACAATAATACATTTTCATGGTGGTGGATTTCTTTTAGGCTGTCGAGATACTTATGATCAAGTTACATATGCATTATCTAATTTAACACGTGCACTTGTAATATCAGTCGAGTAGGGTTTTTAGTTTTTTCTTATAAATAAGAGATTTATTCATATATAATAGCTGATCTCAAGATCCTGTAAAACAAAAATATAAAATTTCTTTTTTCTCAACAATCGTTCATTTATTAGTAATTGAAAAATATTATATCCAAGAAAAAGCGTCTAATTCAAGGACAAAAAACAGATTTTGCGAAATGTTAAAATGTCAATAGTTTACAGTATGAGTGTTTTATCTTTTTGAATTCATTGAATCCACAACTCAACTATTATTGATTAGATAAATGTGTTTAGTTAGAATAATATGAGAAAATGATCGATTTACATTTTTCTATTTGTCTATATTGAAATCAAACATGATTATTTATTTTTAAAGATATCGTCGTGTACCAGAACATTATTTTCCTGCAGCACTTGATGATTGTACTTTAATCACATATGAATTATTTAGAAATGCTGATAATTATCGAATTGATGTTAATCGAATAATATTAGCAGGTGATTCAGCCGGTGGAAATTTAGCTTTAGTTTTAACACAATCATTATTAAACGATGGTTTTAATCCTCGTACTACTTGTCTTATATATCCAGCTTTGCAATTCTTTGATTTTACATTACCGTCATATCGATTATATTTACCTCGAAATATTCTTGGTGTTATTACTGAAGAAAACTTTCTTTCTGTTATGTCTGAATTAAGTGAAAGTAAAATAAAAGTAACACGTGATATTTTATTTAATAATCATACATCATCTAAAGATAAAAAACGTTTACGTCCATATGTTGATGCTGAAAAATATTTACATATTTCATTTCCATTTGATATTAATCAAGAAGGTAATGAAAATTTAATTTCACATTTAAAATTTCTTATATCACCAAAAATGTCTCCATTATTGGTTGATGATAAAGAATTAATGAAATTACCACCAATTTTACTTTTTACTACTGAATTTGATATACTTAGAGATGAAGGTAAGATGAATTTGTTTTTATTGTTTTATTAATTAAATATTATTTAGTAAAACAAATATCCGAAAATAAATAGTTTACGTTAGTATTCTTATCAGCAAAAAAAATGTCATAAGACAACACACATGACGTCGATGACGTTGTTCTCGATATAGTGCAGTTTTTCTATAAACTATAAGGTCGTTTGAGTATTCTTAAATATCATCCAATTTAATTAAAAATAATCTGTCATTAGCATAAACAAATATTTAATATAGACAATGAAGAGATTGATAATTAAAAAATATTTTTGAATCAAAAAGAAATTGCAAACTCATAGACCTATGTAGACATACTATTAAATAAATTTTGAATGTGATGAAAATAATAAAATTCTCAAAAATCAAGGAATGCATATCGTATAGAGAAAATTGAAATGAATTTTATAGTTGTCTTTTCAGAAATGAAAATATGTTAAGCGAGAATCTCATAGCTACAATCAATGTTATAAAAACTAAACATTTTAATAGGATATGAATAAGAAAATTTTTATTTAGAATCATTTTTTAACAGAGTTTTAAGCAAGTAATAAAATATCTTATAGAAGTTCTTTACTATTATTAAATCTGTGAATAAGAACGATGAAATAATTACGATGTCGTTCTTAGATTTTTAATTTCGTAGTGAATTCGAGATAAAGAATTTTGATGAAAGTTTCAAATTACGAAACAGTGTTAATATTTATCAACATAAAACAAATATTATTTTTTATAAAGTTTATTCAATATTTTTTTTTTGCAGGTTTTATCTTTGCTGAACGTTTACATTCATTAAATAAAACTCTTTATCATCATCATTTCCCAACAGCATTCCATGGAGTACATCTTCTTTTATATGGTCCATTAAAGTTTGATATTGCTTATGAAATGATTGAACATATTGCAAGAAAAATACGTGAAAATCTTTGATGTAAAATTTATTATTATTTTTTACTGTATTTTGAAAGCAGATAGACATATATTTTATTTTCAATCGATGAATTTACTCTTTGTAAATGAGATTCGTATATTTTTTTAAAATATTTATTGTAAAATTGTGGTATCTGCTAGTGTATTTTTACTTTTTTTTCTTATTAAACTCAAAAATGAATGAAACAAGATAAAGAATGAAATCTTAAATATACTTTGACCATCTATTTGAAATAATGAAAAGAAAAAACCACTTTACCAAAATTCCTTCATAATAATGTGTTTTTATTTTATGAATTTTTGAAAGACATTCTGTTTTGAATCATTTAGAAACTGAAAAAAAAAAAGAACTAATGAAATAATACTTCAAATTTGAAAATGCTTTAGACCAATATTGTTATTGATAGAAACTAGATTCTATAATTAGTTAGACTTAAACAAGAAACTTATCAATATCAAAATGATATTATTCACATTCACAAAGGTATATCTATTTGTCAACTCTTATCCTACGAATATTTTCTTACGTTTCAAATGAACTAGTTTATTAGTATTTTAACAGATTATGCTTAACATGATATTCGTATCGCGATAGATAATACTAGTTGATCTTTCGTGTTTTGTGGTATTAATATTGCTTTGTGCAAATCAGAAACAATTAGATAATGGAAAACGTATATATGTCACAGACAAAATTAAACTTAGGCAGAATTCGTTTTTAAGTAGGCACAAAACTACAAAATAATTTTCTTTTATTTAAAAAAAAAATTTTATTTTCATTTGCATTACGAAAACATAGAAACGTACTTGTTTTCCTTCAAATAGACAGAGTATTTATATTCACTTATTTATATTATAATGCATGCACTAATGGCTTCTTCTGAATCGACATCGGAAAACAAATTTCGAAAGTATCTTTATGGACAAGCGAAGTAACATTTTAAATTTTTGGACTATTAAATTCCAAGAGATGGTAATTATTATTCTACCACAGAAAATACATAAGCTAAAACATCCTATATTGTTACTTTACATATCATTTACGAATCGCATAAAATTTAAAGACAAGCAAGTATCGTTAAAAACAAAATACTACTAAACAAGCATAAGTCATTTTAATTGATCGAAGCTTATCACGACAAACTAATCTTCAATAGAAAACACTGACGAACTCTACAACTTTCTAGGTTTAACTAGATTTCAATTAAAACTGAACATATCTTAATATACATATATAAGATTAGTTCTTTCTTCTCATTTCTTTCGGTTCTTTAATTCGTAAATGTTTTAAAAACTTTATTTAATTTTATCTGGCACATATATATGAAACTCTTTACTATAGATTAGCTATAGAAGTAGTATCATCGACTAAAGTATAAATGTTCTGAATGTATTCAATTATATGTTTGCTATTGATCTAATTCATAAAAAATAATTTAAAAATTCGATGTAAACTAATCCAACACTTTGAGCTAATGTTTCGAACAAGATTTAGTAATAAAATATCATTGGAACAGGGTGTGGGTCTCGATATTCTTCTCAGCCACGGACAGACATTCACACCCTCCATGGAGCTATTAACCATATAATATAAATACGAGAGAGTATCAGTCAAGAGATCAGCTGATTACAATGAATATCAAACACCGCAGTGGAGTTTTACAAAATATTTTGTTTATTTCTTATTGCCCATAAGTCAGATGAAAAATTTGCAGAGTGTGTACACAAAATATCTATGCAATATGAAAAATCTATCAATGACAAAATACATGAATGTTTATTGAAACATATCACTCATAAAAAAGTAATCGATTACTTTTCATTATAAATCGGCTTACATATCCATTTTTTATTTGTTTTATTTTTCCAATAGTTTCTTCAAAAACAAAACTTTTACATTGATGTTTTTTATTATTTTGAAAAAACTACGTCAGTCTTTAGATAATCTAATTTAATGATGAAAGAATAATTAGATGAGAGTATGAACGACTTTATTTATTTTTAGTGCTATTGTATGTAAATGGTGTTGTGAATGCTAGTAAGAAAAAGCTTTTTAGCATCATTAATTATCTAACGGCCCTGTTTTTGGATGCCAATGATATGTACGAAGACATTCATTGCAGCACAAACTTTATTCAAGCGAATCAATATTTAGGTATTATAGATGAACATCATATTTTCAATGATGAGCCAACACAACACGGTATCTATGCTTTGGTCACTAATTGACAAGTTCCTAACAAATAACTTTTCACATAAACAATGAATTACACTACACATTCCATGGTAAGTTATAAAAGATTTTGTATATGTATTTCTTCGTATCAAGCGTTTTCTCAAGCACAATTTTCTTGCAATAAAATTATACTGAATGCTCCTCATGATCTATATAGTTGATACTTTTTGAGATTGTAACTAATGTCTATTAAAGAAATCAGTTATAAACGTAACGTTGTCTAGCCTAGTTTTAACACTATTGAATTTAGTTTTGGATATTTGCCATAGTCACTTAGTATCTGGTTTGGTGTAGTGGTTGTTGTTCATCTTTAAATTCAATTTTGAATAGTGGTAAATTTACATATGATTTCTTTCATTAGCGTTCTCATTAATTTTTCTTTTCATTCGAATCAGACTGATTGATTTCATAAAAAAATTCTTTGATGGAAAAAGGTGAAAAAGAATCTTCCATTGCCTTATTCATTACCACACTGATGATCTTATTTGATGAAATTTTTTAAATTTAATTTTAGTCGTTTTAAATTGATAAGAAAAATAGACTAATTTACAATACACGCTTGGAAAAGTAACGCAGGAAAAAACATATCATGAATAGCGTCTAAAATTTCAACAAAATTATATAGTAAATTATTCATTCATTCTTGATATATTAAAAAGCATATCTATCTAATTTAAAAAGATTTTTAACATGCAACAGTCGACGCTCGTCATTAATATTACAGAAATAAGAGAAAACCTACTCATTCATTTAGTAAGTTTGAGAATTGTTGGATGACAATAGAGATTTTTTCCATTAACATAATAATAAGTTTTTTTTAATGAATGAGAACGCACCAACTGTATATTCTGAAATAAACAAAAAAATGATATTCAAATTAATATAAAAAATAAAACCATCTATGATACTTGCTGTTGTACTCCAGATAAATGCAAAAATGAAAAGTATAGTTATGATTACAAAGTATAGAATAATAATAGGACAACGATCACAATTGTTATGAAGAAAACACCTTTCAATGATCTGCATGAAAAAACAACAAAAACAGTAAGATCGATAATTAAAAATCATCTGTTTACTATAATAACGCAGATCCAACTCAAAAGACTACCGTTGACACCAAAAGCAAGTAATGATGAGTATAGATGCGATTCACCAGAACATGTCCAAAATTTTCCAGTACGCATAATAAGAGCAGTTATTGAAAGATTCATCAAAGGTATTTATAATGGAAATCAATACTGGAATGTATTTAAGCATTCGTAGCTATTATGTTAATTAGAAAGTATTTCAAATTCAATAGCTACTGTTCAACGTAATCGATGATTGATCAATGGTTAATTTATATGATAGTAATGGGTGGTCCATAAAGAATGACCTACTAAGTATTTTGTGAATATTTCTCGCAATAGCTGATGGTTTGACTTGAATTTTTTTTCAAAAGACAGTGCGTAAAATTCTCTACAAAATCTTGTAAGAGAAGTTCTTCAAAAGCATAACTGGAAAACTATATCTAGATAGTAGTAGTATATTCGAAAAAGGTTCACTTTCAAGCTTCTATTTTTGTTTTTTTTTTCAGTTTTGCGCTGCTGTTTGATCACAAACAGAAACATTTGAGTACCTCATTTGGTAGCCCACGAAAAGCTCTGAGTTGAGCGAGTACTTTTTTATGGCATACTGTACATCTAGCCAAACAAAACATTTTGTTTGACCTCTCTTATCCACGTTTTAAAGATCTTCCACACAGGTTTTCCAAAGTTTTTATTTAGTTAAACTGTATTTTCAATTAATACGGATTCAACTTTATTACTATCTTGAGGGAAATTATTTTTCTGCAATTTAGACCCGAGAGAATTGTTGTAAAGATTTTTCTTTTCTGTGATAAGTGGTACGATTAAGAAGTGTAATCAGTGGCACCAATCTGTTTTTCAAAAAGATTGACTATTGGAACGCCACAAAGTTATCTGGAGATTGTTTTTCTGAGCTCTATTAGAAACAGTACACTTAAAAACATAGGAAGCTTGCTTTAGAATAGCCTGAAATCTGTTTAATCAGAGGAGAAGAAATAATTAGTTTCATGAAAAAAGTCACTTTGAAAGTGAGAGTTTTTAGAGTATACGCTGTTGATAAGATACAACTTTTGAGTTATGCTTTTGAGAAGCTTCTCTTATGGGATTTTGCAGAGAATTTTACGAGCTATCTTTTGGAAACAGCTCAAGTCAAATCATGAACGATTGAGAGAGATATTCACAAAATACTTAGAGGGTCATTCTTATGAGCCACCTGTTACAATCATAGTCTAATCAGAAAGAAGTTTATAACTTAAAAATAAAGTAATTTAGTCGATTCTTCTTTTTTTTTGTTTTCGATGACATAGAAACTGAATAAATGTTCCATGTATATACAATCGTCATGCTGACGAATCAATGAAGAAAACAATTTGTTCCGAAATGAATCATATTTGTTTGACGGAGTTACAGGTGTGAAAGATTGATTTTTTTACGTTTCAAATGTATGTTTATTATTTACTTATGTTGTCGATACGTGGAGAATGTCCTCAAGCGTGAACAAAATATTATATTTGTTTATGACTAAGCTATGAATGAAATTTCATTTAGCTATCCATTTTCTGAGAAAACAAATGCAATTAAAATTAATCATTAACTAATCAGATAGAACTGTAAAAATTGTGCAAATCGGTATGCTCATAATCCATCGATTTTATGAATACTGACCATTGCAGTTTTTTGAACTGAAACAAATG